TAGCAGGTGTGCCTTGGTCCTGCATTATTGTCGTTGTTGTTGGTGTTGTTGTTGTTGTTGCGGTTGTTGTTGTTGTTGTTTCCTTGCTGCTAGTTCTGGGGAGGATAGGTCCTGCAATATTTTGTCGTGTGGCCCTTTCGATTGCAACTGGTACAATGCATCTCCCTGCATTCGCCATTATGATGGAGACTGCACTTGTTGCACTTTGGGAGATTCCCGGAATACTGCCTAGGGGCACTTGGAGTAGCTGAGACTGGAGCATGTTGTGTGGAGGGAACTTGGGTGGTTGCAGCATTGACTGTCACTGTTTGTTGCTTCTTTGACGACTCTAAGCCTTGTCGCCCCTTTCTCTTGTTATTCTTTCCTTTCTTGTTGTCACTCTCCTTCTTGCCTTCAGTTTCCCCTGGCTTCTCGCCCTTCTTGTTGTTGTGGTCGTACAGTTTCTTGGCCAACCTCTTGGCACTGTCGAAGGTTTCAGGATTTGCAGCTATGGCCAACCTCTTGGCACTGTCGAAGGTTTCAGGATTTGCAGCTATCACATTTCCTTGAATTGGGGAGGTTAATCCCCAGATGAATCGTTCGATTTTCTTTCCTTTTGAAGTAATCATGCCAGGGCACAACAGTGACAGTTCGCTAAACCTTGATATGTATGCATCAATGTCGGAGTTTCGGACGGTGAGATTCCATAACTCTTGCTCCATTTTCTGAATTTCGCCTCGCGGGCAGTACTCGGCCATCAACATTTCTTTCAACTCCGCCCACGACATGGCGTTGGCTACAGGGAGAGTCATGGATTCTACGTGTCCATTCCACCAGGTGAGAGCTTGGTCAACGAATGTGCATGCGGCAAACTTTACTTTCATCTCCTCGGGGCATTCACATATCTCAAATACCGATTCCACCTTTTCAATCCATCTCTTTAGGGTTATCATTCCACCTGTGCCATTAAAGGTTCGTGGCTTGGCGTTGGTGAAGTCCTTGTAAGAGCATGTCTTGGTAGGTCCTTGATTTACTCCGTTGTTCGAACTTCCAGCCCCTTGTCCATTGCCTCCACCATTGTTCCCTTGGTGGATTTGCGCCATAGCTGCCGTGACTGCAGCAGATAGAGTTGCTTGAAATGCAGATGAGTTGATTTCTGGTGGGGTTGGCTCAGGGTTTCCACGGGTTGGTCGTTGAGGCATCTTTCTGTGATGGAACGGAAAGATGTTGAGTGCCTATGATTTTTGTGAGTTTGTGATCCTATAAACTAGGTGTATTGCATGAACTTAAGTAGTTTCACATATTAACATACAATCATGGATACATAACACATAACAGATAACAACATCACAATAGAACACATATATTTTTCCATTAATAATATCCGTACTTTGATACATGAAAATTTGCTCGAAAGAGCATACATAAGTGGTGCAAGTTCGGTAGCGTAACGACTCTATGAGTAGTTTAATCACTTAAACATAGAGTCGATGGTACATAGCATGGAACATAGTACTAGTAGGGTAAAGCTGGTCCTAACACCCTAAGGAGCGCACGACGGCGGCAGCGAGGTCATATACCGAAGTGTTGTGCCAATAACTGGGCCATCTCAGTCATTTCTCCAATGACTTCATCTCTTTCCTGTTCGGCCTGCACCGCTCGTGCTTCCATGGCGAATAGCTGTTGCCGCAGAGCGGCAATCTCAGCTTCCGGAGAACGATTCTCTCTCGCGGGATTCCCTGGTGGGGCAGGGTGGTTCTGCTGCGTCTCGCTGGTAGGTGGTGTGACGGAATCCTCGTCTGTGTCTTGTTCTTCCTCCATGTCGTCATCGGTCCCATCAAACTCGTAGTCTGTGTCCGTGTACTCGTCGGGCCCAACGTCGTGTGCTCCCCCTTGATCTCCCTCGGGTTCGTCCTCGATCATTCCGTGGGCCACTAAGACCTGATGAAACTGAATGCCCTGGTGCTCCCCTTCCATGGTGACTGAGAGGAGGTATATGAATAAACTATTATTACTCCTAAGATGTTTTAATTATTATGTAAATTGAGTTGATGTTCTCTTCTTGGTAACAAAGGGGTATGTTTTTAGGTTTAATGACCATCGCGATTTCCCCGGGGCATGTGATAGTTGTACTTCGGAGGAAATGTAGTTGATCAGGCTACATTCACCCTTAATACAACTATGAACAGTCCCGACTTAACCAAGATGTCAGTATCATCTTATTTGATTTGGTATTATATTCTTTTTCCTATATCGTACAAGTAGAGGTGTTTTATCGTTGTGTTTTATTTGTTTTGTTCAGAGTTGTTTTAGTCCCTCTTTGGTTTATAGTTGCATATCAATGTGTGGTTAGATATGCCAGTTCACTATAAACAGAGCTCTGATACCAACCTGTCACACCCCCGAACCAGACGGCGGAAACGTCCGAGGGCTCGCGTGACTCAACTTGAATATCATCACAATGAATATACATGAAACACAACATAAACTTCACCATGCATTAATACATTACAACTGACATTGTTCACATCAAGTACATTGTTTAAATATTACATATTCATATCATAAATTGTTTGAAAGTTTTTCAAAGCATAACACCCTAACATACTTGGTATTACTCTTCAGCTTACCTGTCACCTGAGAATACAAGTTATTTTGAAAACGTCAACATATGGAATGTTGGTGAGTTCATAAGCAGGGTTGTTATAAAAATGTTTTGTGTAGTTTATAAAACCCAGAAAATCCAATATTTTCTGAAAAGACAATTGTTTATACCAAACTGTGAAGGTCCATAAGTTTGTGCATGAATGATTTCAAAGTGTGTATAAATGAGACGTTTTGTATTATAGTTATTGAAAAGTACAAGTGAATGGTGTTGATTTCCTCGAAAAACCCGATGTTTTCCGAAAAGATAATATAATTGTTTCAAATTGTTATACTGTCACAACGAATGATTATGATTTTCCTTGATTACTAGGATAGTATTGGATTTATTTATTTATGTGAGTCGTTATAACCATGCATGATAATGACTAGTTCGTTTGTCTTGGCATTCTAGCGAACGCCGGAATTGATCTTAAGATTTTGTCACCCTAGACTGGCCGAGTCTAACTGTAGCGAACAGCTGAGGTGTGGGGGAGTCACCCCCGTATAGATCTATACACAAACTCTCGCTCTCCCTCCAGGAGACTTTGATTATAACTACAGAGTACGAACGACGCTTAGAGGTGTCGCCCGTTATTACTCACTTAATCCAAACGAAATTGATTACCATTGATTAACGACCTGTATTTGTTTACTTGAATTGAAGGTAAGCCTAACAAACGAGGAGAAGAGGATTACGAGGTCCTGCTAATTACGTGTGTTATTTAAGGCTGTTGGGTATACGAAGGACGCGTTGGCCCATTTCACATTTGATTTATTTGGACCTTACTAGCAATGCTAATGGGCCATTGAGGCCCAATAGCACATAAAAGCCATTGAGGGTCCCTTAAACATGTAATTGGGTCACAGGAGGCCTAATAGACATGTGTTATCATTGTTAGGCCCGGAAGTCATGTCAATGGGCCACGAAGGCCCAATAAGCATGATTAGGATCTTTCAAGCCCAACAATTTGAATATTTACTTGTTTTAGGTATAGTATAATTGTCGGAAGCTTAATTGAACAATTGTTAATATTCGCAACGGCACGAGACTTGTCGACTGTTCATAACGATATTTGAAAATAATGTATATTCTTCATTTTATTTTCATAAGTTGTAATTTGGTATTTTTGACCCAAGTATTTTAATAATAAAATAATTGATTCAAATATTGGTTTGACCTATTCAGCCCTTCTTCAATAAAAATGACAATCTTAGTCCCTTATTTTAAAAAAAGACATTTTAGGTCCCTAAAACCATTTTGTTGACATTTTTGATCCATAGACTTGTTTAAGTAATGTTTTTAGCTCAAAATTTACTCTTTGGCAGTTTCAGCCCTTTCATCAAAGAGTTTTCAGTTAAAGTCCAAACTTTTCGCAACTTTTACAATTTTGACCCAAATTCCAAAAACTTTACATTTTTTATCCTTTTTGGAAAAAAAAATCATTTTAACCCCTGAAATAGTTTTGTTTACCCTTTACCCCCTGTTTTGAGAAATTACCATTTCAACCCCTTGAAAATCATATTTTTCGCAATTTTTGGGCCTATGGGCCGAAAAGCCCAAAAATTGGCCCATTAGGCTACAAATCACATTTCTATTCCTTTGAAGAGCATAATATTCATAAAACATTTATTTTAACTGTTTTGACTCTTTTGGTCCTTAAGAAAACCGTGAATGACAATTTTAACCCAACTTTTGTTTATTTGAAAATATAGTCCAAAAATGAGTTTTATGTTGCAATATGTTTATTATAACCTTAGAGGGTAATTTTTCTTGACTTGTTTAGTGTAATATATCTTAGATCATGTTTATTTTCCTTCTTGTGCCATAGATCTCGAGATTTCTTTCCTTTTGTTACATATTTACCACATAAACACATGAAATCACACATAACATACACATACACATACACATAGATCTACACATTTTACTTGTATTCTCCCCCATAAAACTTGTCAAAACCGAAAATAGAGGGGTATGAACTCACCTTTGCTTGTTGTTTTCGATTTGAAGAAGAAAGGGAAGAGTTTGATGCTATTTTTTCGGTCCTAGCAAGCTTTCTTGGGTTGATTTCGAACTTAAGAAGCTTCTAAGGAGTAGATCACGAAAATGGTGTGAGTTAGGAAGAAGTTTTGATGAAATAAAGAGACTGGAGTATGGATCTAAACAATAACTTACCAATGTCGATAATTATTATGGAATAACCTCCTTGAAGAGCCCTAACTCTTGAAAATTTTGAAGGAGAAGTGAATAAGTTGTTGTGAGTTCTTGAGAGGATTTAGAAGTGAAATAAGTGTGTGTGTGTGTGTGTGTGTGTTGATACTCTCGGCCGAGAGTAGTAGAAGGAGAAGAGAGAGAGAGGTGAAAGGATGGATGCATGGAAGTATGTGAGTTTTGCATGGAAATCCAATGAGTAATAAGGAGGTGGCTAACCCTCCTTAATCCCTTAATTTCTCCCCTTTTTCTTTTTTTTTCTTTTTTTTCTTTCTACTTGGGCCGAGAGAGGGTAAGGGAAAAGAATGGTTTGGGCCTTTTTGTTCTTGAGTCCATATTATGGGCCCATTTTGATGATTTTCGGCCCATTGGGCCTTTTAGAGTAATTCACGGCCCAATATTCATCAAAGTATGAGTTTTATGGCCCATTAGGGCTAATTAGATTTGTTATGGCCCAATAAGGCCCATTAAAGATAAACTAATCCATTTTAGGCTTATGAGGCCCAAAATGTTGAGTTTCATTCTAATGGGTCCAATTAGAGCCCATATAAGAGTTCTAAGCCCAAAATAGTCAAATTGGAAGCTTATTGGTCCATTAAGCCCAATAAGAAAATCCTAGTCCAAAATGGACTTGAACCGGGATTTTTAGGGTTTCCAACCTTTTGTTGACTATTTGAATGTTTGTATAGAGTATTTGATGGAATTTTATGGTCATTGAATAAGCACCATACATGTTTTCAAGTTTTAACTACAATTTTATCTTTGTTAAGGGTTTTACAAAGCATCAGAATTCCTAGTTGTGAAAAAATTTAATTCAGGTACCGAGGTATTCTTGAACATCGTGGACCCGATCCCAGGTAATCTGGTTACTCCTAATGTTGACCCAGCCCAAGTTAATAAATCCGTTCCAATTTTGGCTCATGTGCCCATTCCAAACATACCACTTCCTGGTAGGGACGATTGGCCCATATCGCCTGATCTGATAATTGGTGCCCCAACATCTCCTCTATTTGGTAAAGGTGAATCTTTAGATAAGCGTCGTCGTATCCTCATCCCAACCACACGAATGACTTTGGAGTCGTTGCAAAGATCGCTTGACTTCGATGCCTGGCCTCCACTGCCTTCTTCGTTTGGTCCTCCGGTGGTTCGATTTCATGCCTCTACCCCACTACCTGATCTTAATAGGCCAGTCTCGCATAACGACCCCACATCCAATTCTTCAATTCACGATGACGATACCTCATCCAATGAAATCTCCAGTATTCTCAAGGTTGGTAATGATGTGGGGTTCCAAATTACACGTGAAGATCCTGTGGTCCAAGAAGTGGTTGGCAAAGGTGTTGGTGTTGAAGACAATAATCAATGAATTGTTTATGATTAAATGTCAGGGGTTGTGGAGTATCGCACAAAATAGATTGGATTCGCAGGATAAAAAACTCTCAAAAAGTAGACTTCGTAGGCATACAAGAAACATGGGTCGCTGATTCAAACGACATAGACTTTACTGGTGCTTGGGGTAACTCGAATTTTGAGGTGGCTTTCGTCAATCCTGTTGGTAGGTCTGGAGGCATCGTAAGCATGTGGGACCCGTTGATTTTTGTTAAATCCAATATTTTCTCTTCCAGAAACTATTTGGCAATATCTGGGAACTGGAATGGTGTTCCTGGTACAACAACTCTTGTGAATGTTTATGGCCCTCAATCAGTATGTGATAAAAGAAAGTTATGGGAGGACTTATTAAAACTCAAAAGAAGTATTAACGATATTTAGATTTTCTTCGGTGATTTCAATGCGGTGAGATACAATTTCGAGCGGTTCAATTCAAGATTTTGTCGAGCTACTGCTAGAGATTTCAACAAATTTATAGCAGAGCGGGTCTCCAGGAGTTCAAACTTGGTGGTAAAAAATTCACGTATCTTTGTGATGATGGGCTAAAACTCAGCAAGCTTGATCGTTACCTAGTTTGCTCTAATTTCATCGCTCACCAACCTCTTACCACAGTTATTGTTCTACCCCGTGAACATTCTGATCACATTCCTTTGATCCTAAAGCCTTCAAATCAAGATTTTGGACCCACTCCATGTAGGTTCTTCAATTCATGGATACATAGAGATGGTTTCGAACACACCTTTACACAAGCATGGAACTCGTTTAGGGGCTTCGGAGCACCTGACATGTACCTTAAAGCGAAATTAAAATTTGTCAGGAAGAAAATTGGTAACTGGCGGAAGTCTGAATCGGATGTTGAATCTAAGATGTTAACACAAATCAAGAAGAAGGTGGAGGACCTGGAAATGATTGCCGAATCCAGACGCCTAACGGATGCTGAAATCAAAGATCGTAGAGCTTATAAATCCAAAATTGTTGAATTGGAAAATTTTGCTAAGCAAGACTTACAACAAAAAGTAAAAATAAAATGGTTGGTGGATGGTGATGAGAACTCACATTTCTTTCATGGAGCTTTGAAAAAGCAAAAATAGGAAGAACATATTGCATGGCTTGATCATAAACGGAACATGGAACACTGAACCGGTGGAGATTAAGAAGGAAATACACAGATTTTTTGAAGATAAATTTAAAGAAAGGTGGCCAATTAGACCAATGTTACTATGTCAGGGTCTTAAAATGATTTCTCAGTCAGAGTCTGAATGCCTCGAGTCCCCGTTCACGACTGAGGAAATTAAAAATGCTATATGGAGTTGTGGTGGCGACAAATCCCCAGGTCCTGACGGGTATACCTTCAATGTACTGAAAAAGCAATGGGAGTTAATGAAGCATGATATCATTCAGTTTTCCACTTTGAAAGACATGGCACCTTCTCGTATGGTTGCAATGCATCATTCATCACACTTATACCGAAAATTAAAGATCCATTGCTTCTGGGAGACTATAGACCTATCAACCTTATTGGTTGTATGTATAAGATAGTGTCCAAAATTCTTGCATCAAGATTAAAACAGGTGGTGGGATCTGTTGTCGGGGAGGTACAGTCAGCATACATTGAGGGGAGGCATATATTGGAGGGTCCATTAATGGTCAACGAAGTCTACTCTTGGGCAAAGAAAACAAAAGAGAAATTGTTTATGCTCAAAATCGACTTTGAAAAAGCTTTTGACTCGATAAACTGGTCCTACTTAGACTCTATGATGGAACAGATGGGTTTCAGCAGCAAATGGCGTTCGTGGATTCAGGGGTGTCTTAAAACCTCCAGAGCATCTGTGCTGGTTAATGGTTCTCCAACCGACGAATTTGAAATCACCAAAGGTGTTAGGCAGGGAGACCCGCTCTCATCTTTTCTCTTTATAGTCGCTATGGAGGGTCTCAATCAAGCCATCAACAGTGCAATTGAAAAGAAACTCATAACTTACATCACACTACCCAACAACGGACCTTCAATCTCGCATCTATTTTATGCCGACGATGCTATTTTTATGGGCAAATGGGATGCTGGCACCATCAAAAATCTTGCAAGAATTCTGAAATGTTTTCATAATAGCTCAGGCCTAAAGGTAAACTTTCAAAAATCACGGTTATTTGGTATTGGTGTCTCGGATATTGACCTTCAACGTCAAGCACAAGTTCTAGGTTGTATTCAAGGAGATTTTCCATTCAATTATCTTGGTGTGCCCGTGGGGGAAAATATGTCATTAAAAAAACACTGGAGACCAATAATCGAAAAGTTTTAGTCACGACTATCAGTTTGGAAAGCAAAAACCTTATCTTTCGGTGGCCGTCTCACATTAATCAAATCTGTACTCAATAGTCTTCCCACTTATTACTTCTCCCTTTTTAAAGCACCTGAGGGGATCATTGATGAACTGGAAAAACTTCGTAGACGATTTTTGTGGGTTGGTGATGATCTGAAATCTAAGATACATTGGGTTTCATGGTCAAATGTAGTGGCTGACAATATTGATGGAGGTTTGGGGGTAGGGACCTTGAAGGCGCAAAACCTTGCATTGCTAACTAAATGGTGGTGGAAAACTAGGACTGGAGATTCCTGTTTGTGGAAAAAGTGCATAACTGCTATACACAACTTAGCCAAGAAACTGGTCACTGTTATTGCAAAGAAATCGTTCAATGGTACCTGGTGTAAGATTGCTAAAGCTATTAAGTCCCTTCCAACATTTGATGTTAATCATCATGAGTTATTCACTTTAATTCCAGCTTCCAAAAACAGTTGTTTGTTTTGGAAAGATAGGTGGTATGGTGAATTAACACTCCAAGAGCGTTTTCCTAGACTGTATAATCTAGAAAAAGTCAAATTATGCTCAATTGTGGATCGAATTCAAACGAATGGTTTCAATTGGAAATGGAAAGTGCAACAAATGGATGATGAGACGTTGACTAATCTGGACGAAATATGCTCCTTACTTAGTAATACCTGCATGATTCATGTCAACAATGGTTTCCGATTCACCTTAAACTCGGATGGGAATTATACGATTAACACTTTAAGAAGACTGTTAGATTCTAAATCAACAGTCTCACAACATGGTGTTCGTATTGATTGGTCTAAGGTGGTTCCGCTAAAGATTAGATGTTTCATTTGGAGAGCAATGACAGATAAGATTCCAGTGGCCTCAAACTTGGAAGTTAGAGGTATCAAACTGCAATCAATCACGTGTCCGATGTGTAGCACAGAACGAGAAACTACCGATCACCTGCTAATAAAATGTAAAGTGGCGAAGGAGGCACGGGAGTGGATCTTCAAATGGTGTCAGATATCTGCCCCTCAATTCAACAACGTGACAGAATTCTTACACTTTGTGGCAAATTGGGGTAATTGTCCACGGAAAAAGGAACGACTGAATGCAGTAGCATACGCACTCTTATGGTTCATTTGGATGGCTAGAAACAACAAGGTGTTCAAACAAACAAAGATGTGGCCGACACAAATTGCGGATGAGGTGATCTCCCAAACATATACGTGGTACAAATATAGAACTACTCAGGTGTTGAATAGGTGTATAGATTGGAGTATATCTCCGTTTTGTTAACTTTTTGTATTACGATATTTTCTTGTATTTGCTCATGTTTTTAGCTACTTGCTAAGCATGTAGCCCATTCTATATTAGAGTATATTTGCCGTTTCAAAAAAAAACTAATACTAAACTTGCCAATGTCAACCATTGTCATAAATCCTTTGACACTAAAGATGAAGAATACTAAATAAAGAACTGAAGTATCCTGCTAACTCGAGTCCACCTTTGTCTTCACCAAGCTGTGGTGAGTTTGGTTCACCAACTACAAAAAAAAAATCCACTTGATAAACGATGGTGGCGGTAGAATGAAATTTAACTCTAGTTTTGTTGGTTTTTTTTCAATATTATTGATACAAGATTAGGTCTATTGTTTTAATTTTAAAAAACTTCCACCATTAATGAATAATAATTTGTTAGAAAATGTAAAACTAAAGGTAAAATAATAGTTTTACATCTATTTAATGGAAAAAGTAAACAATGTTAATTACAGGGACTTGGGTCAAAACAAACAGAAAGCATAAGGATAAAATCAGCAATAAAAATCTTTGAGGGACCTAATCCAGAATGTTTATATAAGCACTGGAACGATTTTTGTAATTTACCTTTTTTAATTTTACACTCTCGTTGTATGCAGTTTCTATGTGTCATCTGACCTCCTACAAAAAACTTCACGGAATTTGACCCCCTCGCGTCTTCCTTATCTTCGTGGAGGCAAGCTAGCTAGCCGTTTCAACCTGCTTCGCTTTTTCACTTCTTTTTGCAGAACCCCACCACGTATGCTCTCTCTCTACCCTTCATTTCTTCTTATTCATAACTGCATCTTCTTCGTTTTCTCTCTCGCTCTATCTTTCTCCGGGTTTTGATGTCTGAACCTATCTTTTATTATACAAGAATCTTTGAATTTCTATTGGTTTTTGTCTAATGCCAATTCCGTGAATCTTTTTTTGATTAATGTGTATGACGTACTTCGTTTAGTTGTCTTTATTAGTTCAGCTTCAATACCCATGGTTGCACACCAACTGTTTGTAGAAATGCGAAGCTTAATTTCGTCATCTTGCAAGCTCATATCTACATGCGTGAATTAAGAATTCAATCAATTACCCCTAAGTTCCCGAAACTAGATACAGTTTTAGGAATTTGACACTGCCCCTTTGTATTCTCCAAATGCAAATCTCATATGGGTTTGTTCTAACGTTTAGCACTAACATTATGTAATTTTTGTACAAAGTAGAAATCTATACAACATTTCGACCTTGAACTATAAATTTCTATCGATTTAGCCACTGAATGATTATTATAATAAACCTTGACGTGGTTAGTTTGATTCTAGCAGATACATGGTCGAGGAAGTTTTGTGTGTAGGTGTTTTATCAAGGGAGGTATGCAATCCTTATGTGAAACCTTGTGGATGTTAAGAGGTGAAGTTTCTCTTTCACTGCATTTAGTTAGTAGTAGAAAGAGCAGAAAGATTTTGGTGAGAAGATCATTGACTAGATCTTGTAGCAGAAGCCCTTCACAGAATATTTTTGGGTCATGGATGGTGGAAACATGGCTACCTGGACAACCTTTGATTTCTGCTAAAGCTAAAGGTATAAATCCATATGACAATGTTCCTATAAACTTTACTTGTTTATATGCTTCTGAAAACTCAAATGCTTCCAGTGATTTGACAGATGAAGCAAAACACTTGGAAAATTCCGGAAGTGACTTTGTGGTTTCAAAACAGTTGTTGGGTGATCTTGATTTTGAGGATGATTTCAGTTCTGAACTTTATGAACCATACAGCAGATGTTATCAGCCTGTAGAGGAACCCTGGCTTCTAGAAGCTTCCCTTCTTTCCCAATATGATAGACAAATAGATTCTTCAAATGGTTGTTCAACATGTGACAACAATATATCAGAAAGAGAGTACCCTGTTGAGGAGCCATGGTTATCTATTAAGGCTCCCACCATTGATGTATCTTTGGAAAACAAGGTGGAAAACATCAAGCCAAAGGATCAAAGTCCAAGAATTGAAAAAATATTTGATAAATTGACTCGGGTATCTATTGGAAATGAGAAAGAAAGTGAGAAACCTGTTAATGAGCTTGAGGAAATTCCAAAAAGATTGTTTCTTGATGATGAGGGTAGGGTAGGTATGCAAGGTACACAACAAGGGGTATCTGTTGATACAGTTATATTGATAAACTCTTCTTTATGTACAATGCAAAGGGTTGCTGTAATGGAAGATGAAAAACTGGTTGAAATATTACTAGAACCTATAAAAAACAATGTTCATTGTGATAGTGTATATATAGGAGTAGTCACAAAACTAGTTCCAAACATGGGTGGAGCATTTGTAAACATAGGTCACCCCAGAGCTTCTCTTGTTGGAATAAGTCATCATGTGGAGCCCTTTATATTTCCTCCATTTTCCCGCCATAAAGAGCCAAGATCCGTGGATGGGTCTTTGCTTGTTGAGCTTCTAGAACATTCTAGAGTTAATGAGAACAACAAACCCAAATCAGAAGAACAACAAGTTATCGATAATATTGAGGAGAATGATGATGACATGGATGATGATGAGTTTGATGTGCCTGAAGACTTTCCGGAAGATGTGAATGGAGGTGTGGTTAACTCTGTGGTGTATATTAATGGAAAAAGGAATTTATTTCAACCAATTGAAACTTCTCATGATTCAAATCATCAAACCATGACTGAGATTACTGATAGTAACAAGGGTCCATGCACAAATGAAAGTAAATGGGCACAAGTTCAAAAGGGTACTAAAATAATCGTGCAAGTTGTCAAAGAGGGTTTGGGTACCAAAGGGCCCACATTGACTGCTTATCCAAAGTTAAGAAGCCGATTTTGGGTATGTGACTATGTTATTCCCATTTTGGTTGTTACATTTGATGTTAACTTAACTTGTAATAACATGATGAGAATCCATAAATGAGGTCTCAGGTTCAAACCCTGGCATCACCTCTCTTGATCTAGGAACAGTCTGATTTACCTTCCCCCATGTTGGGTGTGGGACCCGTTGGTGAGGGCGCCTAGGGGTGGTGTATACTGTATACCCTTTCTTTCAGTGTAAAAAGGGTATACCCTTTTTATACTGAAAGAAAGGGTATACGCGTATGCGTATACCTTTTTTATACTAAAAAAGGGTATACACCATACGTGTATACCCTTTTTACAATGAAAGAAAGGGTATACAGTATACACCACCCCTAGGCGTCCCCACCAATGGGTCCCACAACCAACACGGGGGAAGGTAAATCAGACTGTTCCTAGATCAAGAGAGATGATGCCAGGGTTTGAACCTGAGACCTCGCTTATGGATTCTCATCTCCTTACAGCTAGGACAAACATGTGAATCAAGAATTCAAGATCTTGAAATGAAATGCAGGTTTTGCTGACACGTTGTGATAGAATTGGGATTTCGAAGAAGATTTCAGGATTGGAGAGGACTCGATTGAGGGTGATAGCAAAGACATTGCAGCCTCCTGGTTTTGGGCTTACAGTGAGGACTGTTGCTGCAGGTCATACAATGGAAGAACTTGAAAAGGATCTTGATGGGCTGCTTCTGATGTGGAAAGGTATTACTGAACAAGCAACATCTGCAGCCCTTGCTGCAGATGAAGGTGTGGAAGGTGCAATTCCTGCTATGTTACATCGAGCCATGGGGCAAACACTATCAGTAGTCCAAGACTATTTTAATGACAAGGTTAAAATTGGAAATACTTTGTTATTCCTCAATCCTCAATTGTATATGTGTATTAATGCTCTATTTGTCTGTCTTCAGGTGAAGAACATGATAGTTGATTCTCCAAGGATATATCATGAGGTATGTATTTTTGAATGCTTATTGCCCAAAAATAAAATATATATGAAATTTTTGCATCTGCACATTTAGGTTACAAATTATCTTCAAGAAATAGCTCCTGATCTCTGCAATCGTGTGGAGTTATACACCAAAAAGAATCCACTTTTTGATGAGTACAACATTGAGGAAGAATTGAACAACATGTTAAGTAAAAGGTGAGAATCAATTAACATTAAATGCAAGAAATATTTATTGGATTTTAAAAAATACTTTCTGTTTTGTAGGGTGTCACTCTCTAATGGAGGTTATCTAGTAATTGAACAAACAGAGGCTTTAGTCTCCATTGATGTGAATGGAGGACAATGTATGCTTGGTCATGGAACTTCACAGGAGAAAGCCATCCTTGATGTCAATCTTGCAGCTGCTAAACAAGTAAGCCAAGGGCAATTTCGTCAATATCTTTTATATTATACTGAAAATTCACATATATGTAATATGGTTTCAGATTGCTAGGGAATTAAGATTGAGGGATATTGGTGGAATTATTGTGGTCGATTTCATTGATATGTGGGATGATTGTAAGTCTCTAATCTATCTCTTTCTTATCTATCTTTTTTACATTTCTTTTATTTTTTTTTCAGCAAATAAGCGATTGGTGTATGAAGAAGTTAAAAAAGCAGTTGAGAGAGATCGATCATTGGTTAAAGTCTCGGAACTTTCTAGACATGGGCTCATGGAGATCACTAGAAAAAGGGTATGTAACTATGTATCATGTATGCCCTTTTTCAAAACTTAATAAAATTAAAAAAATATGATTCGTTATTTAATTTTTTTCAACTCTTAACAGGTGCGACCTAGTGTGACATTTATGATAAGTGAGCCATGTTCTTGTTGTCATGCAACTGGAAGAGTCGAAGCTTTGGAAACTTCATTTTCAAAAATAGAACGTGAAATTTGTCGATTTCTTGTGAGTAAATTTTTGAAAGCTTTTATTCATTATTTAAATTAAATACTTGTTTTCTAATAGATTGTTATTTGTTTTTTGTTAGGCACGAATGGAAAGGGCAGATCCTGGAAAACCTGAAACTTGGCCGAAATTTGTTCTGATGGTTGACCGATATATGGGGAGTTATTTGACTTCGGGAAAGAGGACACGATTAGCAATTCTAAGTAGTTCTCTTAGAGTATGGATTTTGCTTAAGGTATGCTTAATCGAAAGCAATTGGGGATATATAATATAATATCTGAATAAGAAAAAATAACTAGTTTGATTTTGATGCGATAATAACAGGTTGCAAGAGGGTTTACTCGAGGAGGATTTGAGATAAAACCACTTGCGGATTTCAAGGATCATAGAGATGAAGATCAACAAATGAGTCGGACTCAGCCGCCGCCATTTCAGCCACCACATGCCGCCAGAGATCCGCGTCCGCCAAGACGGAAAGTCACCATCTTTCCGATCAAGAAATGGAAGACTGGTGGCAAGTGAATGGAGAGAGTGAGAGAGGTGATTTACATCTCAATTTTTTTTTGTTAAACAAAGTTTTATAAATATTATTCGGTAATGACAAATAATAGGGTTTTTCGTTATTTACATATCTGAAATGTTATTTACACCCCGCTCCCGAGTTCAACTTAAAGGAGAGAAAAGAAAGGAAATGAGAGGAAGTGAGGAAAATAAGAGAAATTGGTGCTTCCGAGTTTTATTAAAGGAAGGAACTGGAAGGAAATGAAAGGATCACTTTCCCTCCTAACTTTCCTTCTGATTTGGTAGGATTTGAAAAGAAAGAACAAAATGTTTAACTTTCCTACCATTTCTCTCCAACTCGGGAGTACAAAAGAAAATTTTATTTTCCTTTCTTTTCTCTCCTTACTTTCTTTTCACTTCTCTTCTTTTCTTTTCTTTTCTACAACTCAGAAGCGGGGTGTTAATGATGATAGAATTTGATCGTTATCCCTTAAGTGGAAAGAATGATGATCAATGTTGTGAAGTTTCAAATTTATCATGAAAATGGTTCCAACTTTGTAAATATTTTTATAATATATATCTTTTACTTATTATATTGGGATTGATAATTGGAAATAATCTTCTAATAAAATATGGTTGTGTATTTTATGATACTATGTTCTATTATCAATAAAGTGACATGTAAATATAAATATAAAAACAAATTATAAATATCCCTTGAAAATTTTGTTTATGTTCCAAACTCATAATTGGTTCCATTTTAGACTATCTAGTGATTTTCGCACTATGCGGTTTATAACCCAACTAACCGTACCATTATCGGGAACCATTTACATATATATGGTCCGGTTATTGGTTCTTGGAAACTACAATTTTGGTTTCTGTTAAATCACTTCGATTGCATTCAATCTGATTTTGGAAACGAACACGTACCCTTAGGGCAACGTTGATGATGGGGAGCGAGGGGGAATGGAATGTATGGTGTCAAGACCTCCCGTGGGGCCTACACCCATGGGGGTATTTATGAAAAAGTTTTCACATTCAAGGCAGTGGCTTATCTCCGTTTAGTTTTCTGGTGGAGGCAAAGGAGAGGGCGGGGAACTCCGTCCCTGATACCTCATGGGGTTCTAAAAAATAATTACCTTATTCTTACTTGTTTTTCAGTTATAAATAAAAATCTTACGACATAGAGTTACTATAAATTAATGTGTGTTGTATTTAAATAATTAATATGATACTAGATGTGTAACAGTGCAAAGCGGCAACGATAAATAGCTTTTCTGACGAATAAATTTATTGTGCAGAAATAATTATTAGATTTTATTATTAGTTATTATAATAAATTTATTATGCAGAAATAATTATTAGATTTTATTATTAGTTATTATGTAATAAAAAATTTATCATTTTTAAATAAAATATTTATATTTAGTCCTTATATTTATATTGTTTGTTCATACATTTGATGTAAACTAATTAATATCGGTGTCTAATTTAAAAAATGTAAATTAATTTATATACCTCAATTTAATATTTTAGAATTGTTATTTTGCTCCAAATTGAATTTCTTATTAATTTTCCATACTTTAAGTTTTCAAATTTTTGACAAGTATTAATGATTTATTTGTACAAAAAGTTTTTTAACTTATCTCTCTTAAAATTTAATATATGACTCATATGTTATATAATATAGTATAAGATATAGTGTTTAATAATATAAACTAGTAAAGAACCCGCGGCTATGCCGCTTTTGGGGTATTATGGGAAAAATCGGCAAATTTTAAAAGATATGTATTGAAATTGTAATCACCACAAATATGGGAGTAAGTTGACACCCCCTAAAATTTGTACAACCAAAAAAAGGGACATTGGTGGATAAAATCCAAGAGTGTTGTGACAATAATGTTAAAGTTGTCAAAGTCGAGAAAATATGGTGGCAAAATTCAAAAGGAGGTTTTTTGTGTTTTTTATGTCAAAATGTAAAAGCTTTGACTACAAGGACGAAAAGTGTCAAATTAATTAAAGATTTGTGGCAAAAACACCAAAATGCAAAACTTTTCACTGCAAGGACTATAAATGTCAAAGTCACTAAAGATTTGTGGCAAAAACCTAAAGACACAAAAACTTAATCAAAACATAAAAATGTAAAAGTTGACTTTAGGGACTAAAAGTGTCAAATTCACTAAATTCTTGTGGCAAAAACCTAAAGGTAAAAAAAGTACTATTGCTAGCTCCCTTCGATTTAATATATATATATATATATATATATATATATATATATATATATATATATATATATATATATATATATATATATATATATATATAATAAGGGTAAAATAGAGTAAACAAGGCTAAAACTTAAAAGGGTTATAATTTGTAAATCATACTATGCATAAATTTTTTTATTGTAAATAGCCTCTTTCAATTTCATTTTTATCGTGCCCGATTCAAAAAAATAATATAATTAAGATAGTGATAACAAAATAAATTATTGATTAGGCTAACGATATTCACACAAATTTATATATATATATATATATATATATATATATATATATATATATATATATATGCTAACGATATTCACATAAGCAATGCACATCAAGATAGTGATAACAAAATAAATTATTCATTAGTGATTCATCATAAATTGAAAACAACATGGTAAAAAGCTAGGAAATCTGCATAAAAGTCACATTATTTTAGGAAAAGTAATGATTAAGTCACAATTTTATTTTTTTGAAAAAAAATCCAAGAAATCGGCAAATTTCTTCATTTTCCCAAAATAATAAGATTTTTTTTACAGATTTTCTTAAAAATTGTATATAATATATAAACGTATATATATATATATATATATATATATATATATATATATATATATATACACGTATTTATCTATTTTTAAAAATTTTAAAGTTTTTATATAGTTTTTTTATGTATTTTAAATGTATAAATGTATTTTTCTTACATATTTATATGAGTTTTTAACTATTTTGGTATTTTCACGTATCTATTTATTTTTTATCATGTATTTATATATATATATATATATATTATATATATATATATATATATATATATATATATATATATATATATATATATATATATAATGTTTTTATATTTTTTTAAGTTTTGTATATAGTTTTTACGTTTTTAAGTATTTTAAATGTATAAATATATTTTTTACGTATTTATATAATTTTTTACGTTCTTTTATGTATTTTGGTATATTTTTCACATATTTATTTATTTTTAAAACTTTTTATATAGTTTTTTTACATAATTTTATGAATTTTAAATGTATAAGCATATTTTTTTACATATTTATATGTAATTTTTAAGTACTTTTATGTATTTTCATATTTTTTATACGTATTTATATATTTTTTTACTTCAAGTTTTATTGTAAGCTAACTATTAAACCTTGTAAATAATTAAAAAAATACTAGAGTACTTGAAAACAAACGTTTTTAAAGAGGATCGTTAGTAAACACCATTTTTGCTAGTAAATTTTTCCATTTTTTCTTGAATTCAGTTTGTAGATGAACAAAGTTTATGAATATCTTTGTCGTTAATAATAAAGAATATTCGTAAACTTTGTTCATCCAGAAACTGAAGTCAATAATAAAATAGAAGAATTTACTTGCAAAAATGGCGTTAATTGCTAATGACTGTTTTTGAAAAAAGTTTTTTTTAAAGTACTAGAGTGCCTTTTTTTTCATTTACAAGGTCTAATAATTAGCTTACAGTAAAACTATAAGTAAAAATACATAAATATGTAAAAACAATATCCCAAAATACTTAAAAATACGTAAAAAATATTTTTAAAAAATAATAAATACGTGAAAAATATATCAAAACACATAAAAGTATGTAAAAATACTTAAAAAATCATATAAATACGTACAAAATATGTTTATACATTTAAAATACATAAAACAACATAAAAAACTATATAAAAACATAAAAAAATACATAAATACGTAATATATATATATATATATATATATATATATATATATATATATATAAACACGTAAAAATACTTAAAAATACATAAATACATAAAAATGCGTTTATACAGTATATATAAATTTTGAGGAAATATGTTAAAAAATCTCATTATTTTTGGAAAATTAATGATTTGGCTTCATGAACATGTCAAAAAGGTTAAAGTGGAGAAATTCGCCGGTTTGTTGGGAGTTTCTATTAAAAAATTTTAATTTTGGGACTTAATTAATAATTTTTCCAAAATAATGAGATTTTTTTGAAGATTTCCCTAAGAAAAATTAGGTTTATTAGGATAGTTATTAATCAGTAAGTTTGGCAGTTTCTAATAAAAATCATTTGCAAGTATTCAATCGAACAAATAATAGATTGAGCTCAAAATACAGAGCTCTGACTTGGTTACGTTATTGTAATAAAAAAATCGACTACTAACGTAAATATTTTTTCAATATGATCGTGGAGGTGTTTACAAAAGTAAAAAATATCATCAAAAAAATACCGGTAACACAAAAAGAATTTGTCTATTCGAATTGAAAGACAATTATTATTTGGTAGATAATTGTTGGTCCTTAAAAGTGATTTGTGAAATGCATAATCATGAGTCTGTCTTATATTTAGAACGTCATCTATATCCAAAGCGTTTTTCTGAAAGTGAAACCAACGAAATATTTTATAAGAGAAATATGAAACCAAAAGATATATCATCTACATTAAAATATCAAAATATAGAAAATGTGTCTACACTTCCAAAAATATATAATGCAAGCCAATAAAAATAAAAAAGGAGAAAAAATGGAAAAACTCAAATGCAGGTGGTTATCTTTGTTTATCACGGTCGTAGAGATACATCAACAAATAAGCTTCAAGATTTATTTTTTGCTCGTTGAATATAATTAAAGATGCGGTATGCATTCCCACATGTAAATTTTATGTATGTTACATACAAAACAAACATGTACAAGACGTCCCTCCTTGAAATTTCACCATTTTGTTATTGAATTAGCCATCAAACTATTATTTATTTACAATATTAGCCTAGTGGTTAAATCAATAAATCACAATTGCTCAATGGAAAAGACGATGAAATAATAAAAGCACACCGTGTTTCCAAGTACTTTCCCCTGGTTATCCTCTAAGTAAACAATACAAAATATAATAATTTAATCAATGGAGAAAATAAATTAAATGGTTAAAATACAAGTGTTTTTCTATATTTTTCACTAACAGATATTTATTTCATCTTGTTCCATAAGTAAACCATACATAAATGCATTTCTACAACGCATTAGGTACCTAGAATAACAACACACTTTATCTCAATTATCACTTTAAGCAACATACTTTCCTAACCAAAAATTATATCACAAACATATTACAACTAATCAAATCCAAATATAAAGCCGCTACATTTCACTTCCTTTCTCAATCAAACAAAAACAAACAACATTATCAAATGATCAATACTACAAATTTGTTTTTTTGAAAAATTTGCTACATGCACACAAGTAACAACATTTTCAACAACATCTACATTTCATAACATCAAAACACGTATATGGTACCGATTTTTGCTCTAGCTCAAGTGCGTTTGGTAGTTGTTCCATTGCATATAAACTTGTTCTTGCACAACAAAAGTTGTATAAATTTCGACATGCACCTTTACTAAATGGATATACTCTTTCGGGAAGCGCTCTACATATTAATTCATAAAAGTGTCAGATTTTGTTTCTTTTTGACTTAATGGAATTAATGTTGATTTGACATAATTCAGAAAGAACAAATTAATAAAGCTAAGAGGAAATGAAGCTTCACCCATTAAGACTGTGTTTGGCGCGCCACAGCTAGCTTGTTTTTCAAGCTTTTTTAAGTTGTCATGTTTGGCAAGCCAAAAAGTAGCTTATAAGCTAGCTTATTAAAAAGCTACTTAGAGTAGCTTTCTAGAAGCTTTTTTAAAATTTTCCAAATATACCCCTTAATTAATTATAGAAACACATTCTTTTAAATGTCCTTTTATGTCTTTCAGCTAGTTTTACCAAACACCATTTTTTATCAACTAACTTTTCAGCTATCAGCTAGCTTTTTATTTAACAGATAGCTATCAGCTAACAGCTAGCTTTTCAGGTAGTAAGCGAAACATAGCCTAAGTCCTAACCTTTTTCACAACTTTGCCCCCATTTTTCACTTTACCAAATAATAATAATAATAATAATAATAATAATAATAATAATAATAATAATAATTTAATGGACTAACCTCATATATGGTATACGCCTTCGTCTCACCAACTCATATGTGGTTTGATTTGTCACAACTAGATAACTGAAAAGATTAAAAAAAAAAAAACAAATTAGTTTTTTTATTATTATTTCCAATGATGGAGGGTATTCTCGTCTTTTGTTGCTATTTCTTTTCTTGCATTAAGCTTTGAAGAGATTAACTCACCTATGGAATAGAAGGAGAAGGAGAAGGAATATCAATGCAATTGACAAGATAGACAACAGTATAATCATGATCACATCTACCAACCTGAAATAAAAAGAAAAAGGAAATGAACATAAAACATTGAACAACAAAAATCTAAATTTTTTAGGAGATTTTTTTTTCATCTACTTTTGTTAAGATGTAAATGTGGTTAAATAAAAGGAAACCATACCAAGCCTTTTCTATGTGAGTTTGTAAGTACTTAATATACAAAACTCCAGTCCAAATACTTAAAGCTGTTTCTTCAAGAATATACCACCTGTCAATTATATAACCAAAAATAAATAATTGTAAAAAAATAAACGAAAGTATTTCTTGCATTTAACATGTATAAACTAGAATTGCAGACCAAAATCTACAGTGGTTGCCTTGGCCAATACATGTTCCTAGCCAAACACAATGATGATCAAATTGAAGAACACATCTGTCACAATCATGGCAATGTTTTGCTCTTGGAGGCTGCAATCAAGTTACAATTTTTTTAAGAATTTTAGTCTACAATTGAAGTTTCATTAAAAAAAAAAAACAATTAGGTCATATGAAATTAAGATGCAAAAAAGAGAGATACCTGCACAACACTACAGTATGAACATGTGTAAGTCCTGAAATAAACAGAAGATGTTAGTAATTGGTTCACTTACTAATTTTGCTATACATTTTGGTTGAGGGACTAAATTGGAAATTTCCATATAACCTAATTGTAAAGAAGAAACTTTTCTTTTAAGCAAATGAAGAATGGATGAGAGAACAAGCTTTCTAGGGCTTTTTGAATATGAGAATGAGAAGGGCATTCACGTCTTTCGCACAAAAAGAAATGCATGACAACATGAATTAGATAAGAATTGAGATTCTTCTACCTGACAGATGTTCCAGGTGGATACATCTCCATCACCATTTTTGTCCAATTCATTGGATTATTCCCTAAAAGATTTTCTCCAAATTGGTTGTTGTCAATAGTCACAACTACACTCCCATTTTTGCTTGAAGCAGGTTGTCTTTGCTTGATCATTTAACATCATCAATAAACAAAGAAAGATACCACAATTAGATATTGTCATGCATTCATCATTTAACAATTCAATGGAAGTACTTTGCTGTTTCTTGAATCTAACCCTCCTTAAAGTTGGAATAAGTGCTTACTTTGAGATTTCTGATGCTCTTAATGAGGCTTCTGTTTTAGCATATTCTCTCATTGCATCAAGCACATACCTAAGTATGTATATAATTGTTATACAGAAGGATAAGATTGTATATTATTAAATACATAATATAAGTTTATCATCACATACCCTGGAGAAGAACCAGATGTAAAGAAATACTGAACTAATGTAACAACAACCAACAACATATACATGGATGTGTACCTGTAGAAAAGAGGTTTGAGTTAAGGTGAGTTGTGAATAACATGAAGAATTTTGAAACAAGTGAAGAGAATGTTAAGTTTTTAAGCATCTATACATGAGTTATGCCCTTAACTACTTCCCAAATTTAGCTAATCTTTCAAAGTCTAATGAAACAAACATGTAGATAAAGTCATAACAAAGCGAATCAGTCAGCCCCTAATTATCACATACAATCTTCACAAAATCAGTAACAACAATTTTGGTTTTCGAAGCCCTAAACAGCTGAAATCATATGCAAAATACCAAATGACCCTTACTTAGGTTATAGTATAAAAGTGTGTACCCCAGTGAATCCGTCTCTGCTTACCAAGGCTGTTGTTTTGATTTCTCTATCAAATCTTCATCCAATATGAAAAGAAAACCAACGAAGATTACATGAAGCATCACCAACGCCAGTTTCATACACAACGTAGATCTTCTAACTGCGATCAGAATTACCACAAATCAAATTTGAAGAGTTGAATGTATGACAGAAGGTATGAGTATTACCGGGATCGGAGAGACAGGGGAAGATGTTGAAGCATCGGTCGGAGAAACGATCCGATGTGTCACGAGAGAGAACGCAACAACCCATTATCGTCATTCGAGTAAATGACCTGAAACAAAACCCCCCCAAACAGCTTTTAGCTGAGCTTATGATTATTGCATATCAGGAACACTGCAGCAGCGTTTTGGAGCAGCTCGGAATAAGAGGAGAGTTTAGGATAATCGAAAAGCAGTCGATGACGCAGGTCAAGATTGGGGAAGAGTAGGGTCGGGTGGGGTGGAATGGGGGCAGGTAGGGATGGATGGGGGCAGGTTTACTAATTGGATAATTGTATTTTTAGTCCCTCGTTTATATATTTTGTTTTGTCTTATTATATTTTTGTAAAATTATGGATTAGTTCTTATTTTTTAGAAATTTAATATATTTTTGTAAAATTATGGATTAGTTCTTATTTTTTAGAAATTTAAAGAAATCAGTAGAAAACCTGGTTGCGTTACGCCGTGGATTCGAATAAACTGTGATTAACATTCAAAAACTGACACAAGTTATTCTGAATAAAGATTTGGCATGTTACATAATTAAGCACAAGTGTCTTTATGTTGTTCTTTCATGCTTGCTCATAATCACACAAACGAAAGCGTAAGTTGAATGTAAAATAGTTTTCGGCCTAATCAAAAAACATAACCACATAAACATGTTATTTTTACATTTAATCAAAGTAGGTTGCTTGTTTTGTTAAAGCAGATCAGGTGATAAAAACTCAAAAATATGAAAATATAAATACACTTCCTTTTCATGCTCAAAATCATAGTAGGTGACTGCAAACCTAAAAAATAATAAAGTACATTGCCCTTTCCAGAAAAAATATACCATCTGACAGAAAACCAAACATTAACACCAATGTTTAAAAAATGCCTCCTTTTTTTGCCTTATTCCAAAAAAAAAACGTAACATTTCAAATAAATATGTAGCTACAACTGAAATACAAAATCTAGCAAGATCAAATGTACTTGTTACCAGAAAATTAATGAGTGTCCAGGATCATCTGCAGACTGATGGTCGAAAGAACAATTTAAACACTGAAAGATATGTTAAGAGCATGTACCCTAGAATTTCAAGGTAACTGGGATAAGCATTTACCCCTGGTAGAGTTTTCCTACAGCAATAGTTACCATTCAAGCATTAAGATGACACATTATCAAGCTTTGTACGGACAAAAGTGTCGTACGCCGTCTTGTTGGCTTGAGGCCAGAGAGAAGCAGTTTATGGACCCTGAAATAATCCATGAAATTGTTGAAAAGTTAAAAGTGATTAGAGAAAGGATGTTAGCGGCTCAGGATCGCCAAAAGAGCTATGCTGACAAGAAGAGACGACCAATGACATTTGAAGTTGGAGATTCGGTATTGCTCAAAGTCTCACCGTGGAAGGGACTTATGGGGTGTTTGATACAGGGAAATAAGTGCAGGGAAAAAGAATTGATTCATTTTCTCTTGTTTGGTTAATAAAAAAAAAGTAAGGAATTGAGAAATAAATCAATTCCTTTTCCAACAAATCCATTCTCTATTTTTAAAAGGGAAAAGAGAGAAATGACATATGAACGCGTGATCGAGAATCAAAAGAAAAAAAAAAGCGGAGAAATCAAATTGCCCCCATTCGAACCTCATTGCCTGCAATCGATCAAAAATTTTCAAAGATTTTCATGCAATCGGCCTACGTAAGTAATCAAAAACAATCTTTTTCTCCCTACATATTACGATACATATGATTAAAGTCGGCAGTACATAGGATCGAAGTCACGACTGTTGCTCCATTCACGCATTATTTGTAGCTTCTTCTTGGGCGATTTTGGCACTATCCTCTTCCAATTCAAGGTGTGATTGTTAATCTTGATATCACTTCTTCCAATTAAAGAATTTTGTTTTTTGAATTGTGTTAAAATCTTGCCAAGATCGATTCTCTAAACATGTTTTACTATTGCAGATTTTTTTTCCAGATTTTTACCCTACTTTGATCGATTCTTTAAACATGTTTTACAATGGAAATTGTTTTACTATTGCAGATTTTTTTTTTGAAATTTTACCCTACTTTGAACCACCATAAAAGCTTCATACAAGCTCGGAATGATGCAATTTTTTTTCAAACTATACTCTTTTGTCTTGTCTATGTTTTAGAATAAAAAAACAGCTTAAGTGGTTAAGTTTTAGTTGAGTTATACAGCCACAAACAGGGGTTGTTATGATTGTTGTACGATATTTCAACACTTTTTATAAATTTTGTCCAACTTTGAACCATCATAAAAGCTTCATACAAGCTCGGAACGATGCGATTTTGGCCAGGATAGGCTAGGATTAACTGAGGACCGGGGCAGGGATATCATTCAGGAGGAGGTTGTCTCTATTATCCGGGGGCAGATACCGGAGTTGTTTGGGTCTATCAAGACCGTTGTGATGGAGTTCTTTGATGAACGATACGCTGCTCGATCTGAGACTATTGTTGTTGCAGCCACCACAGCCGTTGCTGGTGCGGGGATTGGCGCTGGGAGGGCTTTCCAGTACCGGGACTTCGATAATACGAAGACCCTGGTGTTTGATGGGGTTCAGGACCCGATCATTGCCATGAGGTGGCTGTCAGATGTTGAGGGATGTTTCTTTACTTGCTCTTGCCCAGCTGACCAGAAGGTCAAGTGCACTTTAAACCTTCTTCGGTCTGGAGCGAAGGATTGGTGGAGATTGGTGACTAGCTCGTACTCTCCAGAGCAGAAAGTTGCCGTGACTTAGGAGCAGTTCTCTAAAATGTTCCGTTCAACATATGTACCGCTGGTGGAGCGGGAGAGGTTGGCCTAGGAGTACTTGGATTTGAGACAGGGGACTGAGTCGGTGACGAAGATCACCAAGATGTTTACAGAGAGAGCCATGTTTTGTCCTGAGTTTGCTACTTCCGAGAAAGCTCAGATGACCCGATACTTGAGCATGCTCAAGACAGACATCTGCCAGTTTGTGTCTACGCAACACTATGGTTCACTGGTGGATTTACAGGAGGCCACTAGGCGGCGGGAGATCGAGATAGAGCTCCAGAAGAGGGAGCAAAGGCATGCCCCGGTGCAGTCCCAGCCTGCGGCGAAGCGGTTCAAGGCCGCTGATGTGAGATATGGGAGTCAAAAGGGTCGTACTTGTGGGAAGTGCGACAAGGTCCATGATGATGCTTGTCGGTCTTCTTCTGGATGCCACAAATGTGGCAGGCAGGGCCACATTGCGAGGGACTGCCATCAGCAGGATCCAGTACCCAGTACCAGGATTTGTTATCACTGTGATCAGGTGGGAAATGTGAAGGTCCATTGCTTGCTTATAGACCATCGCATGCTCCAACGCAGACTACTCTGAGGATCACTGACGAGAGCCAAGGCAGGTCGGAGCCCTCGAGGGCTCAAGGTCGCGCTTTTCAGCTCACGACGGAGGAGGCTTGGGCGGCGCCATATGTCGTGACGGGTATGTTTCTATTTATTGTTCTGTCGATTATTTTATGGTATGCTTATATTTATGATTTTGTTAGGTACCTTCCTAGTGAATTCCTTGCATGCTCTTGTACTTTTTGACGCGGGTGCGATTCGGTCTTTCGTATCTCAGACGTTCAGTAAGGAGTTTGATATGCCTATTGGGGAGTTAGAGTATCCGTTGCGGGTTTTTATCGCTAATGAACACGAGGTTTCTGCATCCAATATATATTAGGGTTGCGTACTGGAGATCTTTGGGGTGCCTTATCTGATTGATCTGATCCCTATCCCCATGGGGGATGTATGTGTGATAGTAGGGATGGATTGGCTGAGCAGGATTGGTGCCATGATCGATTGTAAGGGCCAGCGAGTAGTAGTTCGAACCCCAAGTGGGGGAGAACTGGTTATCTATGGGGTGGGTAGCAGAGTTGGTTCAGGGTTTTTTTCGATGACCAGGGATCGACACTAGATTCAACATGGGTGTGCGGGTTATCTGGCTTATGAGGTTGATACTCGGGTGAGGGAGCAGGTCTCGGTTTCAGATGTGTCAGTTGTTAGGGAGTTTGCCGATGTATTCCTGGAGGAGTTACTCGGTGTGCCTCCCGAGAGGTAGGTTGAGTTCAGGATTGATCTAGTGCTAGGTCCGGCTCCGATTGCCAAAGCGCCGTACTTCTTGGCACCACCTAAGATGCAGGAATTTTCCTCTCAGCTTCAAGAGCTGTTAGGCAAGCAGTTCATCAGACCGAGTAGTTCGTCGTGGGGAGCGTCAATACTGTTTGTCAAGAAGAAGGATGGTTCACACTAGATGTGCATTGATTATCGGGAGTTGAACAAGTTAACGGTGAAGAACCGTTATCCCCTTCCACGGATTGATGACCTCTTTGATCAGTTGCAGGGTGCATCTTGGTTCTCCAAGATCGGTCTGAAGTCTGGATATCGTCACGTGAGAGTGAGAGAGGATGACGTGGAGAAGGCCGCGTTCCGGACTCTTTATGGGCATTACGAGTTCGTGATGATGCCATTTGATCTCACCAACGCACCATAATGTTTATGGATTTGATGAATCGGGTATGCAGGTCGATGCTCGACCGACCAGTTATCGTATTCATTGATGATATATTGGTATATTCTAAGACCAAAGAGCAGCACAAGGAGCACCTCCAAGAGCTTTTGGGAGTACTGAGGCGGGAACGACTGTATGCTAAGTTCTCGAAGTGTGAGTTTTGGTTACGAGAGGTCAAGTTCCTGGGACATCTCGTTAACCAAGACGGGATTTTGGTCGACCCGGCCAAGATCGAGGTCGTGATACAGTGAGAGGTTTCGAAATCTCCCTCAGAGATCCAGAGTTTCTTGGGTTTGGTGGGGTACTATCGGAGATTTATTCAAGACTTCTCCAAGATTACGGTATCTCTCACTCATCTGATGAGGAAGGGAGTGGATTTCTGATGGGGCCCTGAGCAGCAGACTTCATTTGAGACTCTACGGCAGAGGTTATGTGAGGCCTCGGTATTGACCCTTCCGGAGGGAGTCGAGGATTTCATGGTATTTTGTGATGCATCCATCATTGGTTTGGGGGCGGTTCTCATGCAGAGGGGACGAGTGATTTCTTTTGCTTCACGACAACTGAAGTCGCATGAGGCACAATATCCTACTCATGACTTGGAGTTGGGGACATTGGTGTTTGCACTAAAGATTTGGAGACATTATCTTTACGGGGTCTGTTCTATGGTTTACACGGATCACAAGAGTTTGCGATATCTTATGGACC